TTAAGTTTAAAAAATGTGGCTCTCGAAAGAAATTTCAATCGTTGTCCTGTTGGTACTTGGCTCTGTTGACTAATGAGTTTGCCGACCACTGGGCTATGTCATTGCACGTGCGCTGCCATTTATTTGGGGGCGGAGTCTATTTCCACCCCGACCCCAACCTCCGCAAATTAGGGTTTCCTTCGATGCCTATCTCATTGCCTCTCAGTGTTGTCGAAGCAACAGGACTTCCTGTGTGTCATCTTGGGCTGCAGGCCACAGAGATGGACATGGAGATGGAGAGACAGATAGGTGGCCGGCATCCGTGCTGACCAGAAAGGGAGAGTCCGGCAGCACTGAGTCACTTTCCACACGCAGATCTCCACAGCTCACCGCTCGGCCCCCCAGGGTGGAAACATACACGCGTGTGCTATGAAGCGCGGCAAAAGTTTGTGCCTATTTTCCACTTTAAACTCTATCCGACTCGTTAAGGTTCATTGCAGTGGGAGCTGCATTCTCAACAATAAAGATAAATGTAAACATATAAGAAAATAAAATCGTTCAGATACGTTACTTGGAATCTAAAGGGAAAACAACTTTCTTCGTGTCCTACACTCTTGGAGAAATGAAAATCCCTGTACCCCTGAGAGGCTGCTGGGATGGGGAGCCTCATGAGGTGGAGAGAGCATCCTCCACTGTCTGCCGCATGGACCCGCATCTCTCAAACCCGAGTCCAGTCTCTTTCCACTGGATTTTAGGGCCAGGTTACAGTCTGAGATACAAAATCCCCAATCACACTCTTCCGACTGTTTTATAGGGAAAGGAATCACCTACGTTTACGAGGCGGTTGCTGCAGAATGTAGGTCTGCGTACATTTCAGCCTGGTCCATACAAGGCGTGCGAATGCGGGGCGAGCTCCTCTGAGGGTCTCCAGGCCCTGCTTACATAAACAGCAGCCGTGCATGATATTCAAAGAATCTTCCTCATCAGCATCAACCTTCAAAGACACCATGAATTAACCACGAAGGACAAAGCTTAAAGGAACTATTTCCCAGGAATCAAAAGGTGTCCATGCTTACAGAGGCCAGCCGAGCATTCTTTCAGTTGTAGGTGGCACCCCTCAACACCAGGTGGTTGGAAACCTCCCCGCCCCCCCGCCCCCCCGGCTCCCCTCTGCAGCCTTCTCTTTTAGCTTTACCAAATGGAGCTTCCGTAGAGGCAGTGAAGTTTTGTTGACATGGCTTTCCTAAGGCCCATGATCTTTGAAAATATTGATGGAGACTGCTCCTTAGAGTAACGCCTGTTGACATTCTCATTTATGCTGCCGTCACGGAGCCCTCTGGGAGGACCATGTCTGTGTGACAGATGGGCTGTTTCCTAACTGTCCTCACAGGAGTGTCCAGAGAATTAACAGTCACCTGTTTGTAAACACCTGTGTGTCTTGATTGAAAGATGTTGCCATATTATTACAATACGACCAGGTCACAATGACTGAAGACGTCAGAGCGATCACCTCTAGCTGAACAGAAGGCACTCCGCGTTTTAACACTGAGATGGATTTCTGTGGCCGAGGGGCCCAGGAATGAAGGTTTCTCATGATGTAGTTCTTGTCTTTGAATAAGTTAAGCACGTTTTTAGATCTCAAGAAGATTCCTTTTTTTTTCCCCAGCAAGTACTAGCATATCCCACATTCGTTAATTACAGGAAGAAGAAAAAGCTGTAGGAACTTCACTGGAGAAAAAGTCAATGACTTTGCAGAGGAGCCAGGCAATGGGAAGTCACTGGCTGTGACGGTGTGGCCTTTCCCTTCCCACCAGGACAAGGTCTGTTGACCTTGCGTGGAAATTCCACGAGCTGACCAGCGCCCGCCACGCATGCGGCTCTCTGATCGGATGAGGACGTGTCTGTGTTTTGTGTGGACTCTTGAAAGATGGTACCTTGAAGATACGAACTGTGAAACAGTCTCTTAGGCTCTCCAGAGGCAGGGAATGTGGAGCCTCGGATGCTGTTTTCACGGAATGCTCTTTGTGATGTGAAGGGCTGCAGCTCATAAATTATTGGAATAGTTCAGGAGACAAACGCATCTTCAAGGTGTGGATTAGAAAGACAGAATTCCCTCCTAAGGTGAAACCTCTGTTTAGAAACATGCTTTTATTTTTCCTTCAGCCCCAAGGACCCCGGTCAGAGAGCAGCGTACCAGCTTTAAGTCGTCATCCGACGTTGTTTGGCAATGAACGCCGTGCCAGACGTTCGGATGTTCACGTTCTCGCCCAGGGGCCAGCTGTTCACGCGAGGCTCCCACGCTCACTCAGGGCTTGACATTTTGTTAAGTAAAATATTTCTTCTTATAAAAAAAAACACACCAAAGCATGTAAATATGTTCAATGCTTGGCATGATTCTCTCTTGTATCATCCGATAGGAAATATAAACACAGTTCCCTCCAGCTCGCCACAAACACCCATTCCAAAGAGAGGAGAGACAAGGTAATAAGGATTCAGGTCAAAACCCCCACACAGGCCCTGGAGTCCCACGCGGCTGCGAAAAGGAGTGAGCAGCGATCCAGGCAGCGGGGGTGAATCCCCTGCAGGCGCATGAGCTCAATGAGGAAAAGCAGACACAAAAGGCCACACCTCTGTGAGCCCACTGACGTGGTATTCCGGAGAAAGCAAGACGGGAGGGACCGAAAGCAGCTCAGGGCGAAGGCTGGGGGGAGGGAGGGCGTGGACCCACAGGGTGGGAGGGGACCCTGAGGGTGAGGAGATGCGTTAGACCGTGACCCTGGGGGTCCTATGACTCTGCCTACTTCTCAGGACCCACGTACCTGGATTTGAAAAGGATACACTTGTCTGTGTGTAAACTGTACCTCAGTAACCGTGACCTTAAACAATATTAAATACAGCCCGGCCGTGTGGTTGAACGTTGACCTATGAGCCAGGAGGTCACGGTTCAATTCCTGGGCAGGGCACAGGCCCGGGTTTCAGGCTCGATCCCCAGTGTGGGGCGTGCAGGAGGCAGCCGATCCATGATCCTCTCTCATCATTGATGTTTCCATCTCTCCCTCTCCCTTCTTGTCTGAGATCAATACAAACATATTTAAAAATAAATAAATAAATAAATAAAGTTAAATATAAACTTAAAATAAAATAGAACTGGAGACAGGGAGGGGGTGGGGTGGGGCCTGGAGATGCCACTTAGGAAATCAAATGCTGGTCCGGATGCCACCAGGTCCCTGGGAGGAAAGGAGCGAGACCGATGATTCATTCATCGCGTCTCTAAAAGCCACTTTCCCGGTGAGCACTTGGCTGCCTGACTCGAAACGGAGTGAAGAGAAGGACGTCTGCCGTGACCGCAGGTGGAGATGAGGCCGACCCGCCGGCCAGGCGCCCTGGGGAGCGAGGCGCCGGGCACCTGGCGGCTTTCCCTGCCCTGTGGCCACCGCCAGGTCCAGGCACCTCACCGGCATTTCTGGGGAGACCGTGTGTCCATTCCCACCTGTGCCTCCAGCCAGCTTCTGTGTCCCGTGCATCGAGGAAGGTGGCCCTCATCTCAGCAGGCCCCGCACCGGTCCCCTGGTGGTGCCTGCGGCTCAGGAAGCAGAGGGGCGCTCCCCTGGGTGAGGAGGGCTTGTGGACTGGGCTCCGCAGGTCTGGGGGGCGGGATTTGCTGGGTCACCTGCAGTCAGGATAGGGGTGCTTCCTGAAGGAGCAGAGGAGACAGAGGACGCTGTAGGCCCAGAGGAGGGTGACATCGTAGTGTGTCATGGGGAGGACGAGAGGGAGACTGGAGCCTTCGAGGCAGCACGGTGAGCTCACGGCTCTGAGAACACGTTTTCCAAAGGCCGCCCGAGACCAGCTGCCCCGGCAGAGAGCATCCCTGTGGGGGTGGGGCTGCGCCTCGGCCCCGGAGGGCGGCTGCTGGACGGCAGATGCCCGAGGAACGCCCGGCACATCAGGGTGCCGAGAGGTGAGCTGTGTCTGACATGTTTAAGCTGATGGGCGGTGATGGGCTTTAGGTGTTGGCCGAGTCTCAGGAGGCTCTGCTCAGAGTCACGTTACCGCCCATCAGGCGGAACATGTGCCACGGCCTCTCGGAAAATAGGCTTCATTTTCCATGGAACGTTGGAGGTGGCGATGCTTAGAGAGATCCCCGTGGCAGAAGCTCCGTGGGGACAGTGAGACCCTCTCATGGAGGGAGAGGCCATGCTGCTCGTCTGGGAGGCTGCTATGGGAGTGGCATCACCACTGACCAGTGCCCCACCCACCATGTGCCTCTTCCTTCTCCTGCAGAAGCTGAACGGCAGGCCGGCTCTTGCCCTGGCAATGAGGGGTGGTCACCAGACCTGTCACCGCCAGCCGGCCTGGGGGGCTGCCTGGAGGAGGGGCGTCGGGAGGCCTATGTCTGATGGTTTTAAGGGGCGCGCTGGCCCTCCACTGTCTTCTCCCAGCGCAGGGCACGCGTGTGGCCCACGGCCCGGTGGTAGCTCTTGTGGAACACAAACCCGTTTGAACGCACAGCCTTCACTCATGAGGACGCGTCCCGCTCAGAAAGCGAGACCCGAGGCGCTGCCCAACACTCACGCATTGGGGTCCTGGTAGAACGGCCGCCTCGGAGCCAGGCGCGCCCAGGGCGGGAGGAAATGAGGCTGGAAAGTGGGTGGAAAGGGAGAGCAGGGCGCCCTTGGCTGGCCCTGGAGCAGGGACGTCTGAGAGAAAAGGGAAACGAAACTAGAAAAGAAATCGGGGCCCAGCGGTGAACTCAGAGAGCCCCGGGCACTGCGTCCCGAAGGCGAGGGGCCGCTGGCTCACCCCCAGCTCCACGGACGCAGTCTGGCTGCGGGGTTGGGGGTCCGGGTGGCGTCTCCATTCACCAGGGGCGGCACCCCAGTCCTGCCCTTGGGATACCACTCAGGAGTGGTGTCTGAATGAACGCCTGCCACACACATGCTGGTGAGAGATACAAACAGAGCAGCTAGCCAGGGGGGCAGGGGGCCGGCCGGAGGCGTCTTAAGGCCGCTCTCACCCACTCCGGCCAGGATCCCGGCGGCACCTGCTGGGGCTCTGGCCAGGGCCAGGATGCCTCCATCCGGACCTGATGCCCGCCCCATCCTCCGGCCGCCAGGAGGCCCGGGCCCTTGTTCCCGGAACGTGTGTGGTCAGGCCCCCTCAACGCTGATTTAAGGTGCACATCTCAGCGAGGACGGCCCTGGCTCTGCTGTGCCCGCACAGAAGTCCAATCCCAGGAACCGGGAGTCCTTGGGAGGCGGTGGGCACCCGGGCAGCTCGGTGTACACCTGGGTCTGTACGCACTCGGGGTGGGGGTGGGGGAGGGTGGGCTCCAGGCGCCTCTTCCCTCTCAGGGTCGTCGGCTCCCATCCGCATGGCGCTCAGCTCCAGGCGCCTCCCAGGCTGCCGTGAGTCACCGTCATTTGTGAGTAAACAGAGGCACCGCGAAGGAGGAGGTGGGCGCTGTCTGTGCCCTAGCCCAGTGGTTCCCAGCGGGGCCCACGCCCACAGGGGGCAGTTGGATGGTTAAGGGGGCAATTCGCGAATGAGTATTCACAGAGAAGTTCTTGCATTTCTCATGGTTCCAGGGGCCGCATATACAGTCTATACATATATATGGTGACATATTCATGCAGTTCAGTTCTCTGTGATATGTTTTGAAACTTTGCTATTTTTTCCTATCACTTCATATTATTATTATTATTTAACAATTTCTTAGTGATTTCTTCCTCAGGACTCCCACTGTCCTTTCGTTCTTTTATTTTCTCTTTCGTGGATGCCATGTTGTTTGGTAGCTTGTTTTGACCAAGTTCATGGCCTTTTAGGCTTCCTCCATGTTCCCGGGCACCGGGCGGGGCCGGGCGGCTGGGCGCGGGCCAGCAGGGTAAGGGGCCTGTGCAATACTTCCAACAATAAGGATTACAAAAGCCTTTTAGGCTTCCTCCATGTGCATAGGAGTCCCTTTTTGAAGAATAGGAATCATATGTTACGGGGTTGGGGAAGAAAAGGGTGGGAACCGCTGCTCTAGGCTCAGCCCTCCCACGTGTGCCGCTTCCTTCACAGCAAATAGGTC